TATTCCATTGATTGTCAGCACCAGCTGCGATTCATCACCGCTTCCTATATAATGTCAGTAATTTCAGTCTCATGTTGTCAGATCGTTGTGGCTTCCCCGGTGTTGTGTCCTGTTCCTGTGTGGCTTCAGTCTTCTCCTCGTGTGGATTTCCTGTCTCCGTGATCGTCGTCGTCTTTACGTCTTCACGGTTGGATTGTTTATTGTTCCTGGTTCCTGTCACTGAGCACGCCGATCATCATCACATCTCTCCGGGTTGCCCATCAACGTCCCTGTGTCTCACCTCCACCTGAGTGTTTGTTCCCCGATCTGTGTGTCACCTGACCAACTTGAATAAACAGTTTTACTTGCTATTGTTTCCTACTGTTTCATAACAAGATGTCATAACCTAAATTAAATTACTGCAAATTATAATAGTTTTCTAAAATAACCTCATCACTTGAAGGAACACTCAGGGACGAGGTCAAACTGGAAGCCATGTTAATTTTGGACTACATTGGCCACTGTAGGATTTAAAACGAAATCGGAATTGAGAGGAACAGAAACTAAGACTGCGTCCCAATTCACTTACTTATACTACGCCCTAAAAGTATGTACTCTTTTTGTGAAGAAAAAGTACATACTTTTGACTGTGTAGCAAAAGAGTAGGCAAGCTTTGGGACATACTATCACGTCATCTTTAACAGACGACTCTGTCGCGTGCTGCGTGCATCCTCACCGTAAACTGCCCTGTCAATCATCTTGTCACAGTTGAAATCCTCCATTCAATCTAATTTGACTTTCTACCGTTTCGGAGCACGTTCATCTGCCAGTCGTGGGTATTTCATGAGGAGACTCTCCTCGTGTTTGCAATTTGAATATAATGATGCATTTAAAAAGTAATGGCTAAACGTATCTTTACAAAAGTTCACAATACTGCTGCATATGCAATATAATGTGGACAACATTAAATAAATTCATTTTCGTCAGGTTAGATACTGATAATTAATCACTCAAAGCTCTTTATCTAAACCTCTCTACACAGCCGCGGGACCAGTGCGGGACTCGCGCGTCCTCAATGTCTGTATTTTTTTAACACTTTTTACTCGTGTTTGTAGTTCTAACCAAATCCTCGTCCACCGTGCAATGGTTTGTGGGCAATATCAGCTGTTAGAGTGTGCATCGATCTACACTTCGGATTCTGACCGGATATAGTAGACCATCCGGGTATCTTTAAAACACTCATTTCAACATACTACGATTTGGGACGTACTAATTCTATTTTCGAATACTATTTAGGACGGATAGTATGCGAATTGGGACGCAGCATAATATTCACTGGATGGTCATATACCTTTTCACCGCTAGATGGAGGTAAAAATCACACAGTGTAGCTTTGAATCTCGTTTTTGAAAAACACCCCTGAAAAATAGGCGAATCTCCACATAACACCGACTGTGACGCAACAATCGGGATCATTAATATGTACGACTCCAAAAATTTGCATTTGCCAGTCCACGTTCAATGACAGGTGGAACTGCGGAGCCGAAGCATGGCATTTGCTCAGTGTTTGGATGTACACATGAACACAAAAGCATTTTAGTTCCTTCATCCGTACCTCTGAAACAATGGGTTAATTTTATTTTCTCTGGAAATTTCCAAACATTTCACCGACGACTGTTTCCTCAACTTGGGCCAAGAGCTGACCTCGGATCGAGCTACCAGTACACTTTCTGATGTGTAATTGTTGTTCAAGTTCAGACAGGTAATCTTTCTCTCAAAATCGTTCAATACTATTTATGCATCAGGGTCCTGACTCTCTGTGGTCATTAAAAATCCCAGGATGTCTTTCGAAAGAGTAGGGGTGTAACCCCGGCATCTTGGCCAAATTTGCCCAGTGGCCTCTGTCCATCATGGCTTCCTAATCATCCCCATATATACCAATTGGCTTCATCACTGTCTCCTCTCCACCAGTAAGCTGGTGTGTGGTGAGCGTTCTGGCGCACAGTGACTAAAATATCAACTTCACATCGTTTCTTTTGAAAAAAAAAAAAACTTTTTTAAATTGTGAATAAATTATATACAGAAAGCGATCAAAGAACAATCTTTCCACACAGCGCGAGTTTATCTAGACACTTGCCAAACTCGTTATGAATTCAATGACGCACGTTACACTGCACAACAAAGCTCTTGCTGGGTAACACTTTAGAATACGGTTCCTTCGTTAATGAATAACTACACAAGAACTAATGAGTAACACAATATTAACAATCTAGTAACTATTATTAACTAACAAGAAACTCTGATTAACGAACTAGTAAGTAATAGCGCACAGACGAAAGTGGTAGTTCACTATTAAGTAATCAATAACTACTATTTTTTTTAATACTTCCCAGAGAACTACTGAAAAAGTTTATTAATAATCTAGTAACTACTATTAACTAAAAGAAACTCTTATTAACGAATTAGTAAGTAATAGCTCACAGATGAAAGTGTTACTAGATACTTCTGTGGGAATTACTAATTATTTGGATTCGTATTATAAAGTGAAGATCATTGGAACTAACTAGTAATTACTCAAGTGTTACTACATGATCTAGTCATGATTTGTGCAAATGTTTGAGATTTTTGGTGAACTTTAGTAACTTTTAGAAAATGTCTTTAGTAACACTTGAGTAATTACTAGTTAGTTCCAATGATCTTCACTTTATAATACGGATCCAAATAATTAGTAAGTAATAGCTCATAGATGAAAGTGTTACTAGATACTTCTGTGAGAATTACTAATTATTTGGATCCGTATTATAAAGTGAAGATCATTGGAACTAACTAGTAATTACTCAAGTGTTACTACATAATCTAGTCATGATTTGTGCAAATGTTTGAGATTTTTTGGTGAACTTTAGTAACTTTTAGAAAATGTCTTTAGTAACACTTGAGTAATTACTAGTTAGTTCCAATGATCTTCACTTTATAATACGAATCCAAATAATTAGTAATTCCCACAGAAGTATCTAGTAACACTTTCATCTGTGAGCTATTACTTACTAATTCGTTAATAAGAGTTTCTTTTAGTTAGTAGTTACTAGATTGTTAATAAACTTTTTCAGTAGTTCTCTGGGAAGTATTAAAAAAATAGTAGTTATTGATTACTTAATAGTGAACTACCACTTTCGTCTGTGCGCTATTACTTAATAGTTCGTTAATCAGAGTTTCTTGTTAGTTAATAATAGTTACTAGATTGTTAATATTGTGTTACTCATTAGTTCTTGTGTAGTTATTCATTAACGAAGGAACCGTATTCTAAAGTGTTACCCTCCTGCTGTATTTACATGATCGTGTCTGCATTGGTGAAAGCATTAGAGAGAGCAGAAACTGCATTGCAATAAGATCGTGATCGACAGACTGTCCTCTGCTTGCTGAATGCTCATCACAGCAACATTTTATGTGATAAGAATAGATCTAAATACTTCAAAAACAACTTACGATTCATTAATCTCGATAGCTGTAATAGTAAAAACGTATAATAGCTGCAGTAAAATTATTCGAGAGAGTTTCACATGTAATACATAGCTATTTCATATGCAAGCATTTCAGCCAATCACAGCAGAGGCCAGTTACACACAGCAGACACGCCCCTTCAAACAGAGCGTTCAAATCAGAGGCTAAAATCAGGCTAGGTAAATGCCTTTTATTTCTAAATTATGACTATTTTTGATCTAAAAAAAAACATACTAACATTATAAGGGCAACCCAGGAAACATTATAAAATAATTTTTTTAGAAAAAATTCTAGGGCACCTTTAAATCCAGGAAATTGGTTGATGAAACATTGATTCAAATTAAGATACAATTAATACAAAACGAAATTCAGGTTAATGAAAGGTTTTGTACTTTCTGTTTGATGTCTCTGTGAAGCATCTTTTAGTGCCGCTTTCAGAGCGCTCAAGTCCGTAACATTGTTTTTTCCTCATAAATGCAAACACGAAAAATAAAATTAAATCAATATTTTATACAATATGCTGGTGTCAGGATCTAAGGACTCTTCAAACTACAAATTGGAAGCCTGGAGTCTGGACATTAACGAGGATATTCCAACCCGGTCTCATCCCAAATCGTCATATAACTGACGTTTTGGGACGTCTTTTTAGGGCCCCCTTAAACGTCGGTAGATGAGGTTATGGGATCCTAACTCTACCCCATACCTAAACTTAACCCTAAACCTAACCCGTCACCTAACTGACGTTAAAGGTAAAGCGTCAGTTGTATGACGGCCCGGGATCGCCATCTACCGACGTTTAAGGGGCCCTAAAAAGGCGGATATTGACGTATGGTCAAAA